ATAAGTCATGATTTTTTTAATTCATTTTTAAAATTAAGCATCGAATGCGACAACGAAAGATGGCAACACCGGCATTTAACAAATCTCTTAATCCCGAGATGATTGGAGAATGTACTAGCGAACTTATAACTTTGCTAAATAAACATACTGATACTCCGTTAGATATATTCACATTAATGAAACGCATTACCGTTCAAACATTAGGAAAGTTGGCTTTCTCGTATGATATATCCCCTTTCATAATTCTGTATAAATTATTCTGCATGATTTACGATAAATATATGCTTTATATCATCCTTTTCAACTATTACTCAATTTATAAATTACTTTTTATTTCTTTTAATAAGGCATTGAATAGTCTGGAAGAGGAACCATATTTTCTGAAAACTTATGAAAAAATTGTAGAACTTCTTCAAAACCCGCTTCATATGATATTAAAATTTACTTATAAGCTTCCGTTAAAAGTAAATCGTGAACTCTCACAATTAATTAAAGAGTTTGATCAATTTATATATAATGTCATTGAACAACGAAAACTTGATCTTGTTAAAGAAACAACAAAAGAAGACCACACAGATTTATTGGCTAATATGTTGGAAAATATTGGCAATGAAAAATTTGAATACACTATAAAGGACCTTAGAGATGAACTGACTTCGATTTTTTCTGCTGGACATAATAGTAAGTGTTAACAAAGCATTTATTCTGTTATATATATATCGTCGCGGCTGATGATGAAATCTAGGGCCTCGATTTGAAAATATAAACCCTGCAAGAATCCACATACCGGGTTGGTGAAAAGTAACTAAACAGGTCCCCATTTTTACCATCTCCGCTAATATTTAATTTATTACCCGAGTTTGTGAAAGTTATAAACGGGATCTTTTTTTTTAATACACTGATTATCATTTTAATGTTTAGTAATCATCGTAATAAATTACAAAACAATAAATTAAATATTAGCGGAGATGGTAAAAATGGGGACCTGTTTAGTTACTTTTCACCAACCCGGTATACTCTTTAATTATCAATTCTATCCCTAAAACCTAACCCAACCTCAAAAAAAAAGCGGGAAAAACACTCCAAAAAAATTTTAAAAATTCATAACAAAATAGGTCCGAATTTCAGCGACATATATTAACGCTATTGTTAAATAACATGATTGTTAAATATTTTATTTATTTATTTTGTAGCCACAGCATTTTCATTGAGCTCTATTTTTTATAACTTAGCAAGATATCCTGTAATTTGTTTTTTTTTTGCAATTTTAATTTTGATAAATAATTTAAACATTTAATCATGCAAAAAAAAACTTTTTTTAGGACATTCAAAAAAAAGCAAGAGAAGAAGCAATTCAAGTCTTAGGAAATTACTCTAAAATACCAAATTCAGAAAATGTTAAGGTATTGATTTAGACTTTTACGTAGTTTTATCAAAACTTTTAATATATTTAATCAATAATATGTCATATTTTAAATAAATAGAAATTAAAATATATAAAAGCAATCATTGAAGAATCACTTCGTCGTTATCCAGCAGTAACAATGTTACCATTCCGTAAAGTTTTAAAGCCTTTAAAGCTTAGTCAAAATATTGAAATTCCAGAAGGAATAAACATTTCACTGAATATTTGGCAGATTCATAAAAATTCAGATCTTTGGAGCGATGAGTTTGTGCCCGAAAAATTTATGAATCAAGAAGCAAAAAAGAATTGGATTCCGTTCTCTAATGGGCATAGAAATTGGTACGTATATTATTTTTTTTTATTAACTTTAGAAAGAATATATACCTTTATAAGGTGCATATTTTTAATTTAATTCATCCTTTTCATAGCATTGGACAAAATTTTTCAATGATGGAACAAATAGTTATTACCGCAATGATGTGTAAGTTTATTAGTTTATTATCTTTCGCTATGAATTTCTCAAAAATAAGTCCATGATACATTTTGCATATTTTATTTGTAGTACTTAATTTCGAGGTTTCTTTGCCTCCTGAGAGTCAAAATTTGGTAAAAATGCCGGTGTTGCCATCTTTCGTTGTCGCATTCGATGCTTAATTTTAAAAATGAATTAAAAAAATCATGACTTAT